GTTGTAATGGAACGTTTGTTCAAGGCACAGAATTCTACAATTTTTCTGTTATCACAGTGTAGAATTCTGTGGTTTAGGGTGAACGCAAAATTTGGTGAACGCGCACCGGGTGAGAATAGCCACAAGACTCGCCTGCACTATTCTCACTCCGGGTGAGAATAGAGGTGGCCATTGTATATACTATCCCGCCCTTGGCGCGACCGTGCCCTGATGAGCGCGACCAGTTCCCCATTTTTCCTTCTGTGCAGCTCGAGTGCAATCTGTTTTATTGAATTAGAGTTACGTGCCTTGTCTAGTTCCACTTTTCAGTCTTTTGGTCAATCCTTTTCCGAGAACGTCAGCCGTCTGCTAGTGCAGCAGTCGAGTTCAAAGTGAAAGGCTTATCAGAAACGTTCTTATGTCTTAGAGAAGTTTTCTTCAGTTACTAAACTAGAGTAGCTGGCCCAACCCGCGACCACTTGTCTCTGTACCCTCTGTTATTAATTATAAGATAATTGTTTTCATCATGATTTGATAAAGAAATGATTTTACTAACCTTTAATTGGTGTACTAACAACTTTCTTGCACCTGTTATATTTGTGCTCGCATGGTCGCGCCCTGTTCCGTATGCGGTCACGCTGAGGGCATGCGGTTCCGCCAAGGGCAGAACATTAACATGTTAAAATGCGAAATCTGCGTAAGTATGACATTTTGGAATGACTGACGATATCACAGTATAAACCGGAAGTTGACACATTGAAGCGGCCCTGATAGTGAACATGGATTGCATGACCTATTTTGCTGACAGAGACCGCTGAGAAGCAAAATACGACAATTGGTCGCGGGTTGGGCCAGGTACTCTAGTTTTGGAGGATCAGCCTATTTATGAACGGTGTTGCTGATCAGGTAGACTCGACAACTTGCACAGCCGCCGCCCCCCGTCCTTCCACACCCTACCCCAAAAATCGTGATTTGCGATTGCCATGACATGACATGACAATGTGCTTCTGATGTTTTCAAATGTGCTACGAAATGACCGTCTCCATTCAACCTTGTGGGTTTGGGGTGTGATGAGATGACTGTGACGATCTGACTGCACCGGTGTGATGAAATGACTGGTATTATCTAGATCTAGATCTAGGTGCTGCAGATTTTTATAACCCCAAAAATTTGTTAGATCTAGATCTAGATATTTGTTATCCGGCCTAGTTCCTCTGTTTTTTATTTTTAAATTTTATAATAGGCCCCTGACAGTAATAGATCTAGATCTAATAGTAATAATAGCCCTGGCCTAGATCTAGATTCTGCTTGATCTAGATCTAGATCACTAGATCTAGAGGTTTTGGATGTTGGTTTGGAACAGGAGTGTCGATGAAGTCATTTGAAGTTTAGGGAATCAGAAAGGATTATAGATAATGGAATAGACAGATGATCGTGAGTTGGAACTGAAGCAGGCAAAACGTTTCCAGGGGAACCTCCCCAGCCTTTGATGCACTGTCCCAACTACTGTACGTATACTATTTCATCCACTTCATACAGCACCACTATAAGAACTCTGGTTTCTGCACATTTGGTTGGACGGAAGATCCAGAGATGCCCCAAACCTCGATGGTTCGATCCTTGATCAGCGCCAAGGTGAAAAACCCAAAACCCAGCAGGAGAGCACTTGGGAGTGATGACCTGAGTGTGGCCCGGCCCCCTTACATGACTGCATTTATAGCGCATATCCATGCTCTACAGCAAGCCCTGTGTGCTCTACAACTATCATTACCTCAGCAGACCCTCTGAGAACACTCAGAAACATTCTCCGCTTCCGGGGAAGCATACAGCGCAAGCTGCGGATTTCACGCACTCAAACACTATCAAACTTTGATGCCAGACTGACCAGAGTGATGGAAATGATAGGCTAGAGAGAGAGCGTACACTTCATGCTTGCTGTACACTACTGCATTGGCGTCGGTGGCCTAGTGGTTAGGCTCTCGGACTTGCAACCGTAAAGTCGAGGGTTCGAATCCCGTGAGGGGCCCGACGTTTTGTTCTTGGGAAAGGCACTTTACACAAATTTTCCTCACTTCACCCAGGTGGGAATGGGTACCCGGCTATAGACAGCGAAATATCTTGTCAGTTTGTTAGTGTTTGAACGCTTAATTGG